TCCATCAAAGAGATGCCCGAAAGCCCCTCCTCTTTGCACCAAATGCAAGAGTGCTCTTCATGATTCTTCAATCTGTCCCTTAGTTAATAAGTTGAAGAAGGTGGTTAATGAATCTTTGGTTCAGATTGACATGGTCAAGCAGGTTGGCCCGGTTTTGCGGGAGAAGGGGTTGAGGAATAAGACGGTGGGTCCTGTTTCAAATACCCAACAAGTTGGAGGCTCTAAAACATGGATCCCACGGGGTAAGGAAAGTGTGGGGAACAATTTAATTATTGCTGCTTCACCGGTGAAAGCGGACATAAAGAGAAATCCACCAGAGCAGCACGACATGGACCTCCTTCCTGAAGTAGACGAAAAAGGAGAAGAGGAGGAAGAAGAAGAAGGAGAGTTTATAGAGGTAATCTCTAAGAGAAATAAGAAGTCCAAGCACCTTAGGAGCAGTCAAGGGAAGGCTCTTAAGAAGGTGGAAGGGTTTTACCCTTCACYYWAGCCTTTTGTCACCCAAAAAAGTTTTTGATGCTGAGTTTTTTTTGGAACGTAAGAGGGATCAATGATCTTAACAAGCAGCAATGTTTTAGGAGCTGGAGGCTTAAGAATAAGCCTTTTATTGGTTGTTTGGCYGAGACGCATGTTTTGGAACCAAATGCTCCATCGGTTATTGCTTCTATTCTTCCGGGTTGGAGAATGGAGTCTAATTATGAATATTCTCATATTGGTAAGATATGGTTAGTATGGGATCCAGCAATTTCGTTGGTTGTGTATAACAAATCCCTACAGCAGATTACTTGTGGTGTGTTTTTAGCTGAAAGTAGTAGAAGCTTCACCATCACTTTTGTCTATGCTTCTAACCTGCGTGCAGTTAGAAGAGACCTTTGGGCGGAGATACATGACATAGGAAGGAATCAGAACCTAGTAAACTCGCCTTGGCTTGTTGTTGGTGACTTTAACCAGACTTTAGTGGCTTCTGATCACTCCCTCAGAGACGTATTTGAAACAGTTTCTCCAGAAAGTAGAGAAATGCAACACTGTCTAAATGGTGCAGGACTCTTTGATCTACCTTTTACCGGGCCAGTTTTCACTTGGTGGAATAGCAGGGCTTTGAATCCAATAGCAGAAAAGTTGGACAGAATGTTGGGCAATGATCAGTGGTTACTCAAGTTTCCAGATAGCTCTTTCAGCTTTGAAGAACTTCTGTTTTCAGATAATGCTGCTTGTTGCTTCAGAATTCCAGACTTGGCTCCAAAGCCAAAGCGGCCTTTCAAGTTTAATCTTCACCTGATACATCACCCTGAATTCTTATCTATAGTGGATGAGGCTTGGAGAGGTTTTCGTGTTGTTGGTTCCTCAATGCAGCAGGTGAGTAAGAAGCTCAAACTTCTTAAAAGGGTCCTCAAAGATTTAGACCACTCGGCCTATTCAAATATTCAGAAGAGAACTTCTGAAGCTTTGGAGAGTCTCAAGCTTTCTCAACAAGAGCTTCTCTCTAGCCCGTCAACCATTGCTGCGGAGAGCAAACTTTTTGCCCTGAACAAATGGAAACAATTAGCAAAGGCAGAGGAATGTTTTCTGAGGCAAAAGTCTAGGATCAAATGGCTGAAGCTGGGGGACCAGAATAGTGGTTTTTTCCACAGATGCGTAGCTGCAAGAAGAGCAAGAAACAAGCTTTCTAGACTCAGATTGGCTGACGGCAATTGTAGTAGAGACACAGAGTGGATAAAGAAGACATGTGTGGACTATTACAAAGATCTCTTAGGACCTCCTCCTTCCAGAAAGCCATCATTAATGACTGCAATTGAATCTATTCACCCTTTCAGGTGTAGTGCTACTCAAAGGGAAAGTCTTAGTAGGGTG